GTTTCTGTTACTTAAGGATCTTGCTCTGTTTCCTCTGTTTTTGTTGTTGTTACAGATCAACTCTCTGCACTAACAGTTCATGTAAATGATCAAAACAAACGAAGAAGACAGATTCTTAATGAGTTCTTGGATCTTAAAGGTTAGTAATTTACTAAAAAAGCTACGATTACTACTGTAAATTTTCAGTTTTTAAGAGTTTAGTTTCATCGATTTTTCGATTTGGAAATTGTTAGGGAACATTCGTGTGTTTTGTCGAGTGAAACCCTTAGACTCCAAAAACTTGAAAGCACCAGTTGCTTCTGATACAAGAAACGTAATAATCAAGTTAACAGAAACTAAGAGAAAAACCTACAGTTTCGACAGAGTTTTTCAACCCGATTCATCACAAGGTAAGTTGCTTTGATCTTCTTTTTCTGACCTAGATTACGCGTAAATGGAAGTGTTCTTGATGATAGTATTCAAACTTTTTTTGTAGATGATGTATTCTTAGAGATCGAACCAGTAATCAAATCGGTTATCGATGGTTATAACGCTTGTATTTTCGCGTATGGACAAACCGGTACTGGAAAAACGTTTACAATGGTAAGAAATGATCAATCAAAAACATCTCTTTGATTTCATTGTTTGTTTTCTTGAATCTCTTTTATAAGTTGGGATGAATATTTTTGCAGGAGGGTATTCCGGAATCTCCAGGTATCGTTCCTCGAGCGATTAAGGGATTGTTTAAACAAGTCGAGGAAAGCAATCATATGTTTGTAATCAGCTTTAGTATGCTTGAGATTTACATGGGAAATCTCAGAGACTTACTTGTTTCTCAAGCTACTAAACCTATTGATCCAATACCTCCAAGGTAATACGACTCATAACATTTGCGGAGAATCTCAACCGAAAGATCGGATTTTGATGGGGTTTGTATCTCTGTTTCAGTCTTGTGATTCACACAGATGCAAAGGGAGAGATCGATATCGAGAACTTAGTGACTATAAAAGTGAATGACTTTAATCAAGTCTTCAAGTTATACAAATTAGGTTGTAGAAACAGAGCAACTGCCTCTACTAACTCTAACTCTGCATCAAGCAGATCACACTGGTAAAAATCTCGATATTCTATATCTTTTTTTTTGTGTGTGTAAATTTCTGCTACATTTTGTTCTCTGATCTTCAATAATGAATACAGTATGATCCGTGTATTGATCACTTGTCTCGGAGCTCCTGAGAGACGGCGTGAAACAAACAAGATTTGGTTAGTTGATCTTGGAGGAAGCGAGCGCGTGTTGAAAACCAGAGCCGTTGGTCGTCGTTTCGATGAAGGCAAAGCAATTAATCTCTCTTTATCTGCTCTTGGAGATGTCATTAACTCTCTTCAACGCAAAAATGGTCACATTCCTTACAGAAACAGCAAGCTTACGCAAGTTCTGAAAGACTCTCTCGGTAACTAAAATCTTCTGAAAAATCTTTGTCTTAACTGATTAATGTTTCTCTTTACTAAATGTTAGTTCTTGATTTTGATTTTCCAGGGCAAGACTCAAAAACATTGATGCTTGTTCATATAAGCCCGAAAGAAGATGATCTGTGTGAAACTATATGTTCTTTAAACTTCGCAACAAGGGCAAAGAACATTCATTTAGGGCAGGATGAATCAAAGGTAATGGAATTGATAACTTATCATACATAACACATCAACTTATTTTAAAGTGTTACACTTTCTGATGGGTTAAAGATTCTTTTGGACGTGTAGGAAGAACAAGAGAAAAAGGAAGCTGTGATGATGAATCTGCAGAAGATGATGGAAAAGATCGAGCAAGAACGCGAGTTATCGTTAAGAGAGATGAGAAATCTAAATGAGACATTAGAGAAACTCTCTGGTAAGTCTCATATTATTGAAGAAAAAGAAGGGTTTGTGATTAGAGAAGAGATTCAAGTTACTCCAAAGACACCGAAAAACAAATCAAGACGTGCTTCAGATGTATTTCCGAGCTTCATGAGACCAACAGCTAGTAGCAACAGAAGATTATCAGGGAACGATTTTCGCGTAATCTCCAATAGTGCAAGCTTTAAGTCTAGAAGGAACTCAATGGTATCTGCTCGAGCCGAATCTGTTTGTCTACCGGTAAAGAAGAACGGATTTGATTCTGTATGTGACTCATCAGGCAGGAGTATTTCGAATTCTACTTGCGTTATGCGTCAGAATACAGCGGATGATGCAACGACGGTTTATAGTCAGGACATATCTGAATGTGACATTAAGTTGGTTGTTTCTGAGCAAAAGCCAAAAATACCGGAGATGAGCCCTGCATCTGCGAAGAAAGTAAGTTCGAAGATCGGTAAATGCGAGAAAAATGCGAGCCAGAAAGTCGGTAGAACAGAATTTTCAAGGATAAACAGTTGGGTTCGTTCGCAATCCGAAAACAGACCTTACGTGCTTGACAAGAAACAACTTCCCGCGAGTTCTTTACAGGATAAACTACGAAGATTAAGCGGGGATAGATCACTGGAAAAGTCATCTACAAAGAGTTTCTCGAGGAAGAAGATCATTGGTAACGAGATCTTTGAAAAAATGGAAGATATAGAAGAGTCTAAAACAGAGGAGTCAGGTATTAAACCTAATTTGATGCTTAAAGATATGTTTGAGTTGCAATGTCTCTGTTCTTCTGAAACAGAGGATCATATTCTGTCCAAATACCGAAATCCTGATGAAGACGACGATGATGAATCTGTATATCCTCCAAGTTTAAGATACGATGGACTTAGCCAACACATAGACAATGTGTGGTTTGGAGTCGACTACGTAGCGGATTGGGAGCAAGATTCACCAGCCTCGGTTCCGCTGTTAGAACACGAGTCCGATCTCAAACAGCAATTAGCAGAAATGGGTTTGGATCGATCACTCAAACCGGAATCTCAGAGAGGTTTGGTGTTCACTGAGGATGTAGCTCCACCATTTCTTGTACCACAAGAAAACATTGGAGAAAGAGGTAAACAATTTAGACCTATATTTATATGTTTTGGTGTAGATTGTATTTTTTCTGAGATTTCGTTTTTGGTTGCAGGAAAAGTTCATATGTTTATGCAGAAACTTCAGGCTTTATGCTTACGTATTCTTCTGGGCTTAGGGTTTATTGGTGTTGGCTATGGTAATGACTTCTTCAACGGATTAACCAAGTAAAGACAAGAACAGATTCAAATCATAGTCTCAAGGAGTCTTGTTTACCAAAGTTTTTAGTTTTTTTTTTTTCATTAGAATTAAGTATGGACTTTAATTTTGAATAAAAGTCAGTTTTGTTTGGAGTTTAATGATTCATGTTCTTGAGTAGAAGGCAATTGTAGTTTTGTTTAATGATACAAAAAAAAACCTTAGTC